TTCCTCTGGCTGTCCACACGACGACGTCAGCTTGGGCCAGAGGTGCGGTTGAGTTACATCAATCACCTGCTCGAGTTTGCTTTGATACCGTTGGCAACTGCTCGACATAGCATACGGATACATCTCAATCAACTCTCGAGTACTCATTTCGTATATGATTCGCCCTTTCCCACTCGAGTCATGCGCATCCGAGCGCTGCGCTATTACCGACAGCTTACGGCTAGCTAGCTAGCTAGCCATTTTCAACACCACATTCAATGCTCCGCGAATAGGTGTCTCAAGTTTGCGGTTGGGGCATCGTCAAAGTCAACACGGTACTATTTCCCCCATTCCGTTGAAGCAGACGTGGCTGGCCCTCAAGACACTGGGTTGGACGACGCCTCTCTGGTGGATCTATGAGGACGTCGACGCGCTATCGGCGGCTAGCTCTTGGCAAAATCCAGATACCCAGAGATTGAAGTCCAGCTTTGGATCCAGGCCTAGACTCTCTCTCCCCGCCCTTGCTTCCAAGTACCAAAGGTGAAATAGTCACTTCCGAAGTTGTGGTTTGACTCATCGGCTTAGAAGCAAGCTAGCCCTTTGGCAGACCGCCGTCGCCCGCCAACCAGCGCCATCAGCCGCAACGGAACCCTCCCCTTTTCTCACCCGATCCGGCAAGTGCACCAAGCAAGCGAGGCCAATGCCATTGTGGTTCGTTGGAGGCACTGGAGAGGCTCTCGTCAGCCCTATGTCCACGCACGGGACGCTTCTTTGGAATCAAAGACAATGTCTGGCAGAAGTTCTGCCACTACTGATAGCTGTGTGTCCTAGCGCATGCTCGGTAGCTGGACTCTGGAGGCGTCGCCATTACATGCTCGGGTACTTCAGCCGATCCTCTAGACCCGGACTTGATAATCCAGACTTGCTCAGTAATCACTGTGGTTGTTAAAGAGTACCCGGTCCTTGACCGAGCTTATTCTTCAAGGTTCGGACAGAAGACGGGCCGGGATTGCACTGGGACCAATGGGTAACATCAGCAGTTCCGCGCGGGGCGGTCGCTTCTTATTCTGATCTTCAAACTCTCATCGCCAGCCTCGATTGGCTGCTGTTTTCAGTTCCGATCTCAGATTCGAACCGCTGTCAAATGCTGCAAGCTGGCCAATGATTGCTGGTTCCATGTGGTCGGCGCGCCCTGCATGTTCGCCTTTGAACTGAAGCAGACAGGTTGCGACCCTGTTAAAACACATAGCCATGACAGGGGCCAAGACGGAAGCCACTTGTTTCCGTGGCCATCGGTTGTATACTAAGGACTTATTGAACTGAGCTTCGTCGAGGGACTGCTGCTCTAGTAGCGCTGACCGCCACCCTATCTAGCGACTGAGGCCTCGAAGAATTCCGTTCCCTCCGGCCTATTATTCTAGCAAAAGAACCCTAGGAAAGCCAATGCAATCTGACACACGCTCAGCCAAACCAATGTATGGCGGTAAAGCAAGATGGGTTGTAGCACGTTTTGACCGCTTGTGACTGTGCTAACAAGACTAGTGCCACCATAGGCATTCCTGTCTGTTCATCGGGCTCAGAAATCAGATTTCAATTGTCTTAACAGAATGCGCTTGGACGCCCCGAGCCGTTCGTTCCCAACGGACGTGCCATTGCGGGTGGATCTTGGACACCTTCTGTGCTAGCGGGAAGAAGTGGGGGGCAAGCGACTACCCCTGCCCAAACCGATCTCCTACTAAATCCCCGGATCGTGCGCGGAGCATATCATCCTATCGATCGTGGTCTTCGAGTCCGTCATCGGGCCTTACGGATACAAGTCACAACCCTACCGAGGAAGAATGCTGGAGCCTGAGCCACCGAGTCTTGGCAAGTGTCCGAACACGCGAAGACGGTCGATCACATCTTGCCGTTCGTACCCAATGGAGCAGTCCTTCGGGGCTCTTTTAGGTGGTCTCGTCTACGCAGTATCATTATTCTGGCCTCGTAGTAACTTCTGGCCTCGCCATCGCGCACCCAAATTGACAAAGATTGCATCCATAGCGTATGAGATCGTACAACATCGGAGAAATACCATTGGAACGAATTCTAAATTTAGGTGGTTGGTATCTAGAAACTTATGGTAAGGCTAATGATTACAACGAAGAGCCTGTGCGGAGATTGGCGGAGTTCTACCTGCGCGATATGGATATATTGTAGCATGCTGCCTTCCCTCGCGACACTTACTTTGATAGACGATTCACAGAAGCGTGGCCTCTGAAACCGATAACGACAAGTCCAACCTCGTTTCCTGCGGGCTATTCGACACCGATATTCCAGATCGAGACACCGGGAAATAGGAGATATCTGGCGTCGGCTGGAGACCAGTTCCCACATCACGCGCCCGATACGGCCAGATAGTGATCACCATTATTCAGCGTCCATACCTAGGCACCACTCCCTTCCGAGTTCTGAGCCTCCTGTGATGCGGGGTCGCCGTGGGAAAACGACTATCAAAGCATATCGGTTGTATCACTTCGCATGCTTCGAACGACCCAGCTGCCAAAATCTGCATCCTCAGACCTCTAGAGGTTTTACTCACTACCCTGGCTGCCTGTTGCAACGATCCGATTCGTGTCATCCCGCTAGAGTTCACACCTGTCTCGATATTGGTCACTTCTCACTTTCTTCAGTTCAACAATGTACTGGTACAAGACTGCGTCTTGCCCCCTGGCTGTTCCCTTACGGCCATAGTCAAGTGTCAGGCGTGTTAGTGGCATGCGGCGGAACACCAGTCAGCGGTGTGCCAGTTCTGCCCGTCAAGCATCATGGGCCGGTCGAAGATGTGAATCGCACCATAGCTCCCGTGTTTGGGGAAACAATGATTCCACATCTATCAGACCCCATCTCTGCGGTGGAGACGTGGCCTGGAGCGACCCAGCGACCCAGCGACCCAGCGTCTATGTACGTTATGCCGGAATGCAATTCCTTTCCCTTTCCAAACGCAATGTGCCCATCACCCCCGTGTCTTTTGTCAGTTGGAGGTCCGTCACGTATCCATGTCTACTTAGTGTCACGGCGCATGCGAGTGCATGGGGACTGGCAAATCAGACGTGGAGTTCCTGGCGATGGAGATCAATGGATGGATTTGAGAAGCCGAGGCCTAAGCTGCGTACGGGTACAACTCCAACATCGTCCAACCAGCTCCGACAAACGGGTGGTCGGTCCGCCTTACTACTTTTCTAAGTAAGTTTATCTTGATCAGAGGAAATAGTCAATAAGCCGCGCGCGAAGAATCAGGGCTCTAGCTTGCTCTTTAAGGTTTCACTGATGACTATCTGTTGCATTTTGCCAGAATTCCCACCATAGTTCGAGGCCGACTTGAGTCAACTTGAAGTCTAGACCGCTCATAATTCGAAGCATAAATCCTCGTCCACGCCTAATCCACAACTACAGACTCCTTGCTACTTTGAGGTATTTCAACTTTTGCCAGGGCCAAACGTTTGGCGATGAGCTGTCAATACTACGTCAGAAAGCACTTTCCTATTCAGCGATTCCGCCGATCGAGTGCATAGACTCACCTCACCGCACGTCACCGGTCCGTACTTTGCCGGGCTATTTTCATCAATGCAGGTCGGAAGGACGCCAAGCTCCCGGTCGAAATTGAATCCTGTTTTATTGCGAGACAATCAGTCAGTAAGAAAGCAGTCGGAACGTGGACCTAATCATCCAGAGTCCATGACCTCATGATGAAAGGCTAAAAGGGGAATCTCTTACCAAAGAAGAAGGGCATGGAGATCCTGTCCTCCTTGCCGTGCTGCACGACGCGGTGAACAGTCGACTTGAGCCTATCATTTGTCATTCTCATGAAGAAGTCGCCAATGTTGACAACAAACGTGCCGCGGATCGGTGGCGCCCACATCCACTCCCCCGCACTGTTGAGCACTTGCAGTCCTCGGTGGCTGTCTTGCCACAGAAGAGTCAAGATTTGCAAGTCCGTGTGTGCGCCGACGCCGACCTCGTCCGGGTCCTGGACCGGCTCGTCGCCGTGGCCCGGGTAAAAGTTAATTGCGAAGTCGCCGCCTGGATAGGTTGTCAGGGAGTCGAAATAATTTTCCGGCAGTTCAAGGGCCAGAGCAATGACACGGATAAGACGGCGCGAGAGGGCCAGACACTCGCGCCAGTGCGCCAACACTGTGGCCTTGAAGTCCGGAAGGACGGCAGAGTCGCCGTCGTCGGTCCAAACAAAGTCCTCCCGCGGCAAGTGCGCTCTGACATTCGCGGGAACCTGATCGAGCCGACCCTCGTGGATGGGATCGAATTCGGGTTCATAGTGACAGAGGAAGGCCTCTTTCCTATCTTTGGTCTCGCCTGGGTTGGCCTGCCGTTCCCGAAAACCGGTGTATCCATAGGCTGAGGTGTTGGAGGTGAGCTTCCGCTTCTCCTTCTCGGGAAGTTTGAAAAACCTAGCCTCGGGTGAGCTTAGATCTCTCCGGAAACGCATTCGCCTGGTCTGCGGTAGGACTCGAATCAAGTGGCAGGTGAGCGGGCGAGCCTGCTTACTCTATTCCCTTTTGATGGGCCGCTTCAATTACTTGCTCGGGGATGCCGTGATTCTTGATGTAGAAGAATCCACTGTTTTTGGCGGCACCTAGAATTTCCTGAGCGATCGCTTTGCGCGCATCAAAGTCGCCTGTGAGACCGCTCAAGTCGATAATTGGCACGTCGTCGAGCGTGCAATTCTTGGGTGGGCTTGTAGACACCAGTCTGTAAGTCGGTCCATCAAAGGTATTAAGCACGACCTTCTTTTTCCCCGCGGGCACGGTTTCTACTGCGGTTGATGTGGCCATTTTGGAAAACAACTTTATCTGCAGCCCAAATCACTGGAGCGGCACGATATTCGAAGCGGTTAGTGTCAAGATGGTAATTAGTCGAACAATATCGTGATATGGTGCAAGTACTTCACGAATATCCGCAATTCGACATATCAGAGTGGGGTAAATGATCTGCTATATATATAGCTTCGATACCTGAAGCTGACGTTACACGACACCACGTTTTCTCGCCACCATGATTGAACTCCTTCCATGCTGTCGAAGCTTATCCGCAAGGCAAGGTGCTGAGATAAGGTTATCGCCTATCCGGCGATTTCCGGCTATTTCCTTCCTCGATCGCGCTGCCCCGCCACGTGGGTATCCACCTGGGCCAATGGATAAAGCTCTAGTAACATCCGGCTATCTCCTGCTCCGTCCGAGCACCAACGATCATCTACCAACACTTCTTCACCCCTTCCTTACCCTCAAGACGAAGCACCTTGCTTGTATCTATATCGCGACCGGCTTATCTTCCGAATATTGGAAGGTTGGAGGCGGGTAATCGATTACGCGGACCAAGGCAGGACATGCTCGCCGGAGCCGAAACGCCAAGCCTGCGACGGCGCAGGTTGAGCGACGACAGCCGGCGGGATGGAGTGGGGATGGAGGAGTCAAGCCGCAAGAGAAAGCGGCGGATCCTGTCCTGTGACACATGCCGAAGGCAGAAGTGTCGGTGTGAGCTCGACGAGGAGTCTGAGGCGTGCGCGAGGTGTCGTTCGTTAAGGTATGTTCATGTTGATCGGCGTCTCTGTGTGTTGTTGGTTCTGGGCAACAGGCGGTTGTTCAGAAGTCCAGGTTTCCTCTTTGCAACGGTGACGAGGGGCTACCCTGCGACATAAACATCCAGCCAATTGGAAGAGAAGTTTCAGCTGATGAATGCAGGATCACTTGCACATGGAACGACAGCGGCGATACCCATTCAGTTTCTTCACGCGAAGCACCGGCCAAGCTTGACGTGGAGGGAAGGTAATCCAACAACTTGATATTTCCCCTGTCCTTCGTTTTATTCTATATGCCTAATGCGGCAATACTTACGAAGAAAAAAGCACCAACTGACTTTTTTCACCGGCAGGTTCCGAAGCCTAGAAGCGTCCATAGTCGACCTCAAGGCGACGGTGCAGGCGCTAGCATCGGGAAGCCGGCCAGAAGTTAGAAGGACGTTGGCAGCAGGGTGCCAAGAGAGGCTCCATCAGCCGCAGCAGCAACAGTCGCCGGCCGAAAAGAGCGTTGTAGACGATCATGACTCTACCAAGGCCAGGGGAAATGAGGACGTCGAGCCAGGGGACCGACATGTCTACTTATCCCCAGCCGAGGTTGTTCGGAAAGTTGGAAGCCAGCTGAGTGGAGGCTATCGGAGAACATTCGATGTCCAAGCCGACGTTGTCTCGTCAGGCATTTTGGACGACAAGACGGCTCGTGATTTGGTTGCAGAGTGAGTCTTTTTGTTCAATGTTGCCTCAAGTACCTTTGACATGAACTTGGACGGGAGGAAAAAGAGATGACTATGCACGGGAAGACGGGCGGCGAATCATGTTGCGCCAACATGTTTGCCACAACTACACCGTAGTATTGCAATTGCTAATTCTTGCCAATCCGCGTACACAGATTCGTCAGCCGAAGGCAGAATACGCTCTTGATCAACAGAGAAGCCGACCTCGCCCCAAAGAACAGGGAACTCCGGCATGCTTCGCCCTTTCTGCACGATGCCTGTTGTCTACACGCGATGCGCTTTTCCGAGCACAGCTCGTCGGTGCTGCACCGTCGCGTGTTTGAGCACGTGCGCTTGCAGATGGGGCAGCTGATGATTGCGAGCCCGTTGCCTTTGGAAGAGTTGACGGGTATCATGATTATGGCCTTATGGGCTTCGGCACCATCGGTACGTTGCGCCACACATAGTAATTGCTGTTCTTGATTGTGGGAACAGGCGTGTAATGAGTAATGATTAATGAGATGATGAAGAACTGATTGACTGATGCAACATAAAAAGCAGGGGCCGGAATATATCGACAGCTGGTTGGTGAGCGGCCATTGTGCGCAACAGGCTATGTTGAGCATCAATTTCTCGGAGGTCCTGTCGCGGACGAAATCGAGAACATCGACAGATGAGGATCAAAGGGTCATGCGACTCTGGGCCAACACGTGTTTGGTGAATCTCCAGTGAGTCTTCCCTGCGACGTTTGATCTTCCAAGTCGTAGACAGAAGAGAAAACGGAAATTGTCCGAAATAGGAGGGTGGACGTTGTTGGAACGAAACCCTACAGTCCATGTTGTTGAACCAACACATTAAAAACGCCTTAAAGAATAATGCTAACGCCGATCGATATGCAGTTGGGCCGCGACCACTAGTCGTCCGGCGACCGTACCGGCCGCATACCTCCAGCAGTGCAAGCTCCTCCTCAACTTTGAAAAGCCGACAATGCTCGACGCCATGGTCTACGCCGAAATAATGCTTTACATGATTCTCCAGGACAAGTTCGCGCAACGATCTTACTTGAGATGCGATGGCGCATGCGAAGAGCTTTCGGCATGGAAGGCGAGATGGAATTACCTATTCGGTGAGTCCCGACCGTAGCCATCCCCACGACGTACATTCAAACATGAGGCGACAACCATGACGTCTCCATCCATTATAATATCAGTGGGCATCATGTTGCATGCTGACGTATCGATTGAACAGATCTTCCAGCCGCATCAACGTTGAGGATAAGTTACTCAATCGCGTGGCTCATTCTCGCCAGGCGTTCACTCGAACACGACCAAGCCACCTCGGACCAAGACTCTTTGTCCAGCTCACCGAGACTTGCCCCAGCAGACGTACGAGCGGGAAGAACACACAGAAACCCGGATTCGCAGAGCCAGAGCCTTTCCGACATGACGCAGTCGCGCGTGCGAGCCTTTGCGACAGACGTCGTCAGGGCCTTTGTCGACATGCCAGGATCCCGCGCCGAGGAGCTGCCCGAGTTTCATCGCCTGTGTGTCGCCTACGCGATGCTCATCATCTCCAAATACGAGCAAAGATTGCCGTTACTTGGAAGTGAGGGCGAGGGTGTGGGGGAGGGCGACGATGCAGTACTGGAACTGCTCCGCGCGGCGCAGAGGCACAACGGCGTCCGGGGGAACAGCGCGCCGTCTGCGATCCAATTCGGACTGGAAAGAGCTTTGAAAAAGGTTGCGGAAAGAACGGAAGCCCGCGCCGGTAGCACTTCCGGTCCTGTTGCCGGAGGCGACGGCCACGGGTTGCCGGATGGGGGAATGTCATTCATGAGAAGTGGGAATGTTCGGGGTCCGCCGGCCGCGACGACAACATCGACTTGGACACACCATCATCAGGACAATGTGCCAGGCCAACAAAATGGCCATAACCCGTCCTCTTTCACGGGGGCGACGCTAGTCCCGGAGTTTGACGAGTCTCTCTCCTTGGAGACAATGGATATCTTCTTTAGCGGCGGCCACCTGGGGCTCGGCGAACACTCATTCTTCTGACGTCGCGACTTTGCGCGTCCACGGCAAGGCGTTGGATTGAAGAAAAACACATTTAGAAAATACACAAAGAAATCCAGAGACTTTCCTGTAAGAATTTCTAGCCTTGAAAAAAATATCAAGCCATGATAATGAGTGTCACACCTTTGTTCTTCTCGCTGGACCCTTTGTCTTCTTCGCGGATCGGCTTCGGCTCCGGATAAGACACACCACGCCCAGATTTCCCCGAAAATCGCCCTTTTCCTCGTGTATTGAACGTATGTCAATTATCAGACTGACGAGGTTATCTGTACGCATTGACGCACTCAGCTTCCTCGATATGAACGTAGCTCAAAAATCCCCGAACCTGCGCACTAGCGACTCGTGACCGGGGATCGTGATCTGTCGTTCTTGTCGTGATACTCTGGGGCATAGAGGCCTTCGATACCGAGGCATTGAGAGGTTGGTGTGACGTTGATTCGTAATTGGCGCGTAGAAGGAGCGCAAATCTCGCAAGACTGGCGTGCTCTATGAAGCCTCCAAACGACCCTCGTGATGGAGTACACACTTTCTGAATACTCTTCTCCACCTCGCCTGAATACCCAGGAAGCCTTCATATACCCCTCAATCCCATTCCTGTCACCAGCCAGCAGGCGCCCTCTAGGTCGAGGGCCGGGTCAAACTGGCTGGTTGGTGGAGCGGTTAAAGGTCAATAATCAACAACGCCCACAGCCTACTCCACGACAGGCTACGAGTTCGAGTTCGATTCCGTATGAGCACCAAGAGACTTAGCCCCCAGTTCAGCGCCGGGGGCAGTGAACTTTTTTTTTCTTCTCCAACGCTAATCAGGTGCACGCCAGGATGATGTCGAAGGTGTACGAATCACCCGGGTGTTTGTCGTTTGGACGTCGTTCCTGGTGGCCGGTTTTCCGCTTGCGTCGGAATGAAGGCGAAAGCATTTTTGGATCGGACAATCGCGTCGCACACGTATTTTGTCTTGATGATCAAAATTCGAGCATTTTTTGGAAGGTCAATTCGCTTCCTGACCGCTCGATGAGCAGATTATCGGCATCGTATCGCGTGTATGTTGACCGCAGGATTGATCGCGACGAAACCTACTGCTCTGTTAATCCAACCGCGCGCTAGGCTTCAGGATATCTGGGAAACAATACTAACGGATAGTAAAAGTAGCACATTCCTGAAAGGGGAAGTCTTCTGCGCCAGCTGCCCACTTAGCGGTGGCCGAAATGTCTTGCAGACGCCATCGAGGGCACAAAGTTCTTCCAGTAGCTACAAATGTATCTGCGAACTTGCAAAAAAGGGCTTCCCATTCTTTTGCGCGTCTCCCTGGTTTCAGATTTGCACAATGCGCCTGGAAATGCCGGGTTTGAACGCCAATTGCGCCTCCGAGGAAGAATCAAAGGTTCTGGACGCCTCATCAGGTCAAGACAGCGACATGTCGCCAATGCGACAGAACGCTCTCATAACCACCAACCTTGGACCCGGCTATCCGACACACTCGTTTATAGGTCGTTACAACTGTAGAAAGTTGGTTTCTAGGCGGGTTTCGTGCTAGGTAGTTGACGGGCTTCGGTCGGCCGCTCGGTCGTTGAACGCCATCGTACGATTTTCGCATTTTGCCACTGCGCGATCTGCCATAGCTCAACAGCCTGGACCGTCGTCGACCGCATACCTCCCTATGCATAGAGCAGCAGAGCAAAGTATAGGAAAAATATAGTCGTCACAGATCTGTAGTGGCCAATCGACTGAAACTATGGCTTTGACACCAAATTGTATACCGTCGCCGGTTGAGCACTAGCCGGAGCTTCCATCCAGGTTTCGTCGCACCTTATGTAGTGTCGTGGAGTCGATTTCGCCCGCAGTCTAGTTCCCAAGCTAGATACCTATCTGATTAATATTTAAAGCTTTGGTATGCGACATTAGTAGCCTAGTATTTACTCACTGATTGTACCGGAGGAATGAAGGATTCCACGAATGCGTTGGGCCTACACCTCGTCCTTGAGGATGCAAAGGATCCGCTTTGACAGAACATTTAACACATAGGCTCTTAAGATAAAGAAAATCGATAATCGGTGTGAATGCATAAGAGATATGGCAAAGAAAAAATTGTTGATGCGCGGCACCGGGTTCGAACCAGTGCTGTTTCGTCAGCGAAATTCCTTCTTGGGAGAGATATTGACTTACTTTCTGCCTTTTGCCGATGATGGGAGGGCAACGAGTTAACCACTACTCCAACCACGCCTCTGCAGCTGTCAAGCTGTCTGTTTTTAAATTTCCTTCTGTTTCTGAGGATCAAGTAGCTAGGTAGCCGTATATTCGAGAACCGAGAATCGAGAGCGCATGTGTGTTCGACTCGGGTGGCCAGTGATAATTTCCTGTGTTAACCTGAATCTTTCGTTTGTTCAATGTTGCCCGTTTGCAAGCGTCCGTTCTGGTGACCCAAATTTGACAAAATTATCTAGAAGCTGCAAGATTCCGAGAATCGAGTCTCCAGTCGACCACAATTCGAGATCGTGCGATTCATGCCATTGCCGTCCGCCTACCGAATCCGCTTCGCTTCGCTTCGATAGCAACAAACAAAGCGGTCAGAGAGACCCACAAGCTGTAGGAAACCGAATGCCGGTGCCAGTATCGTCGTAAATCCTCGGATTTCTGGGGTCGTGCTGTTTTCGGCATACATTTGCTACGAGCGTATTTGTAGTTGCGGTGTGATTTGTGCAGCGGCGACGCATAACAGAGTTGCGTGTTAGCCATAGCCCATAAACGGTAACTTCCCAATCGCCGTTGACTTCGCAGTTTCCATCTCTGACGTGCGAGAAAATTTGGGTCTAGTCGCTTGCCCGAGTCTCTCCTTCTAAATTTCTGACTCTTTCTGCAATGCGGAAAGAAGTCAAGAACTGCGTACGAAGTTCGAGCCTGCGACCTGCAGACTGTAGCAGACTGCAGTTGAAGAGTCAACAAACTTGTGCAACTCCCGATTTGAGAACTTTGTTCTTGAAGTCGTCAAGTGCCTACTCGCAATCCCATATTTCTCTGACAGAAAGAGCGACTAAACTCGTCATTCATCGCTCGGGATATTACGGTTCGCTAGAAGCCGTCAACGATGGCCAAATCGGCCCGGTGTGCCAAGTTTTCTGTGCTTCAGACTGCTTGTAAACCACCCTGAGATGATTGTGATTTGTCGCCAAACCCGAAGAGACAAAGTTTGGGTTGCTGATGCATGATCAAGAAGACAAGTTGCTGCTCTGGTTCCCGGAACATTGACAAAGAACAAAAGCACGCCGACTTGCCTTGTTTGCAAAGTCAAGAAACTTTCCGAGAGTCATCAAGAGGATTCGGAGCCATTTTGAAGGATGGGGGGCGTTTATGAGTCTGCACTAGAAGTGCCGAAAGAGGAATGAAACAAGACGCATCGACCGACTTGGCAGAAATTTGAGGATCTCTTCTTGTCTTCTCAACAAGCAGTCACTTGACTGTCAGAAGGCCTACAGTCCTGCGGTCCGACGGGATCAGTCTAGTGTCAAAGTGGATTGAGCCGAAGAAATGTGCGACCCGTTCTCCCGGACCGTGGAGTTGGACGTGCCATCTGGTCGCGACGAAGTCTGGTTCTAGATCAAAGTCCGAGGCTTTGGTAGGTAGTTGGCGGCTACAGTAGCTTGGTCGAGGGGGCTTTCAGATCGGACCTTCATCCCTGCAACGAGTGAAAGCTTGGCTCTCACGAACACAGCCCCTCCACAAGTGCTGGTTGGGATCCGTACTTGTCTAGATCTGGATAGGCTGCACTGCACGTCTTCGGAGATAAGCTCGTCCTGGTAGGACTGTGCTAAAAATCATCATTTTGCGACGGGGCACGGTCGTGGGTCCAAAGGATGACGGAGGAGGAGGAGGACAAAGCAGCGATACGTATACGTGACGACAACCTCTTTTTCGGGGTCGTGGTGACGCGAAAAAGGTAAACTGTAGAAAGAAGATCAGCCTGGCAAAAACGGCTGCTTCACATGTTGAGATGAGGTAGTCAAGGTTGGTTTGAAGTGGAAGCTTTCTTCTACGCTCTCTTTTCTCTCAATTTGGACGGCGAATTTGCGTTTGAGTTTCTGCGCAAAGTACATAGAGTATGTGCTTCCTGACCAGTAATCGTTAAAGAAACTCGTGTAAAATTGGACACCAACCTGGTGACGACGAAGCTTTACTATGCTAGTTCGTTTACCGTTTTGGCGTTTTTTTTTCTTCCTTGTCCTCATTGGGACCACCTGGTCAGACCGGCCAACCACTCGTTACCCGGCCGTTTCGGCGAGAGAGAGAGAGAGAGGATCCCCCGTCCAGTGCGTTGGGTTCATATGGAGTTGACAGGACCCGGAGGGTTTTCTTACTTTGCTATGTTCAGTTCCCAAGTAAGACTACCTAAGCATACTCTACCCTGTCCAATTGTAGGGTAACCCGGCCGAGACTCACTTGAACTGCATCCACAGCATCCGACAAGCTCTTTATTTAAGGTTTAATGAGCCACAAAAATTGGGCAAGTATGACTGGGCACCCCTGCGTCGTATCCTAGCACCCCCAAGCCCGCACCTGCCGAAGACGACAGCAAAGTGCCGGCCAGGGAAGCTAGAAAAGATACCTCCTTCATGGGTGGCTCCACACCAATGTTCAAGGTCACACCATAGCTGGGGGAAGGAGGCAAGGAGATGAGGAGAGAGAGGAACACGGAAACCTAGAACGGTTAGCCTTTTTTTTCTCGAACGAGGTCACTTCACCGGGTCCCTCTCTCCAGGTTCTTCTTCCCGACTACTACGACAACCGCCCTACGCCATATCGACTCGGTTGTGCCTGGCTCTACTTCTCTTCAGCCTTATCATGTCGTAGAACCTGCGACGTCCACGCTGCTAACACAAGCATCTGGAACTCCCAACACTCTCCTATCATGGGTCTCGGCGTTCTCGAGTCCAAAGCCTTGGACCATGTGCCAGGTAAGTTGTCGTGCCCGCGCGCCCTTCTCCCCGCGCGGATTCTTCTCAACGCTCTGCCCGCATTGTCCTCCTGTCATCCCAATTGCTGACGACCGTCAAAACTCCAGGGACGACGCGCTACTTCGATGATCCAAACCGTCCCCAGACTGCGACCGATACTCATCACGGACTGAAAGTCGACGCGAGCGGTGATGTGCCCATCATTCTGGTGAGCAGCCGACGGGATAGCTTCTGCGACGGAGTCTGCGCGCGCCAGCTGACAATACATCCACCAGGTTCCTCAACCATCCGATGATCCCAACGATCCCCTGAACTGGCCCCTTTGGAAGCGAGACCTCATCACCTTTGTCCTCTCCATAACCGCCATCTTCGCGACCGCGCTCGGCCCTATCCTTGCGGCGAATACCGTTACCATTGCCCTCCTATTCCGTACTAGTTTCACCCGCATCGCTCTTCTCACCGGATACTTCCTTCTCGGAGTTGGTGCCGCAGCCATCTTCTTTGTGCCTTCTGCGCGTGTATGGGGCAAGCGCCATCTCTTTATTCTCGGAATATGCATTCTCGTCGCCTCGTCCGCGTGGGCAGGCTCTGTTGGCACGAGCTACAACTCGCTGCTTGGTGCTCGCCTTGTCCAAGGCATCGGCTGTACTCCATTCGAGACACTCGTAAATGCCGCCGTCGGCGACCTGTACTTTGTCCACCAGCGCGGCTCCCGGATGGCCTTTACGAACTTGGCAGTCTTCGGCGGCGCCTTCTTCACCCCCATCGTTGTGGGCAAGATCACTCACAGCATTGGATGGTGGTGGACGTTTTACTTGGAAGCCATCTTTTGCGCCGTGTGCCTCCCCGCCGTGTTCTTCCTCTGCCCTGAGACGGCCTACCGTCGGGACACTGCGCTCAACACGGATATGGTCGCAGATTCCATCGAACTCACTGACAACAAGGCGTCTTTTGTCGACGGCCCGGGCAGCAGGTCCAGCGACCACGAGAAACTGAACCCCACCTCAGCGCCGTATGGTTCAGGCCTGGAGGCTGTCCGAGGAGCGGGAGCTCAAATTCCAAAGAAGACATTCGTCCAGTCGCTGGCCTTATTCGATGGCCGCAAAACGGATGAGCACTATTGGAAATTGCTTCTTCGCCCCTTTCCGCTCTTCGTACAGCCCGCCTTTCTGTGGGGATGTCTGATTCAAGGCACCATGATCGGTTGGACTGTCTTCATCGGTGTCATTGTTGCGGCTCTCTTCTTGGGACCTCCTTACTATTGGAATGAAGTCAACGCTGGGTACGCCTATGTCGGTGCTTTTGTCGGAGCGCTCGTCGGCTTCATCATCGCTGGTGCGTTCTCCGACTGGAGCGCCAAGTTCTTGACCCGTCGCAATAATGGCATCTACGAACCTGAGTTTCGCATTGTCATGGTACTTCCCATGTTCATCATCGGTTCTATTGGTCTCTACGGGTTCGGCATTACATCTGCTGGGCTTTCCGCTAGGGAGTACCACTACAGCATTCCGCTTATATTCTTCGGCTTTGAGGTCGCTGGTATGGTCATTGGGGCTGTGGCCAGCTCCTTGTACATTGTCGATGCCTACCGTGACCTGGCCATCGAGGGCTTCACTATCATGATTATCTTCAAGAACATCTTCAGTTTTGGTCTTACATACAGTGCGTACGACTGGATCATCGCGGGTGGTATTAAGCCTACCATGATGGCCATTGCTAGCATCCAGGTCGTTGTTTGCGCCTCGAGTATTCCGATGTGTAGGTTGCCTATCTGTCACAGCGTATGAAGCAGCGAGCTAATGACACCTAGATTTCTATGGCAAACGTGTTCGTGCCTACTTCCATCAGCATGATCTGCTGAAATTGACTGGTTTGCGCTAAGCGACCAGCACCCTCTTTTCCTTATTTACTCATTCGACCTGCTGCCCGACCTAAAGAGATCTCTATTTTCTTCTCAGAAGGCAGGCATCTCAAAGAGCCTAGGGGAGTTTTGACGCTCATATCGGGGCTGTGAATAAACCATTGGGCGTTCAGATATACTTAACATCTACCTTTGTCCATAGTACCTACCATATAGTAATACCTAGTTCCGTATAATGATTCAAGAGGCCTCCCGATTCGTGTGAGCGAGCACCGTTTTTGCCCGTTCTCTGCCGCTGGCTTATTGTGGTCTTGCTTCCGACGCTATGACAGCAGCTCCGATCTTCCGTGCATACAGGAGGGGCATCTTGGGTTCCCGGCGAACAGACGCGTAGAGTTTGGCCGAGATGGACG